GGGCAATGGAAGACCACGGCTGATGTCGATGGAGTGTGATGGATTAGGTAGTCCTCATATTTGAATTTGTTTATGAAAGCCAGGGACTAGTGAGATGTGCGCGCGTAAGTTCGTCGGCAGCGTCAGATGGGTATAAGGGACAGGTTCATATCGGCGCGGTAGCTTGAGCTTGAGCTTGGGCTTGGTGCGTCTGCAGACGCCAGGATCGAGTCCAGGTGGCCGTTGTACACCCAGCGCAGAAGATCGCGGCAGTCGGTCATGGGTCCCTCGAGGATATCCACCTGCGGGCAGAGCCGGTGGTTCGGGACGAGGACGATCCAGCCTCTGTCCAGACAGTCTTGGATCTGGGGCATGGAGACCATGCGGGAGTGGCCGAGCATGAAGGCTCCGCCGTGGATGTTGATTACTGCTATTGTCAGGGAGCCTGCCTTCAGGGAGTGGAAGGGGAGAGAACTTACGGACGGGATACTTTTTGATTTCGCCATTTGAGGAGGTCGAGGGCGGGAGGTAGATGTCTGTGGTGATTTGGCTGCCGTTGGCTTCTTTGTATGTTACTGTGAGTGGGGTGTCGAGGGACATTGTGCTGGATCCTTGTCCGACTGTAGATGGGCAAGCTACTTTCTTCAGAACGGGGTAGGATTGTGTATGTGCCTCGTCTACTGGCTGACATTTAAGTGATGGCATGGTTCGGGATATCCGATGCGGGGACGGAACGCATCCGAGTTCAAGGCTGGAGGGATATTTCATACCGCGAATGGGACAAAAAGACTCGATTGGATATTTTCATCAATATATTCATTTTGTCGTATCTCATTTATCTGGACAGCGCTATATATATTTGGCTCTAGGGTATGGTGTGGAGCAGAGATCTTGCATGCCTCCAGAGAACAGCCGTCCAGATCACAAGTCATCAACGTTCGTTTCCGCCTGGCCATAACCCATCTCGTGCGAGACGAATGAGACATGGAGCGGACAATTGTCAATCGCGCATGCATCCTTTTCCTCCTCGCGGTGAGGTACACAAGGACGGAGCGAGTCCGGTTGCCCTCGTGCCGTCAACGGTGAGGCCCTGGTCCGGTTGACCGTCTTCCTTTTTTGATATTTTTTTTTTCTTCTTTTTTCTTTCATTCTTCTCTGCTGAAAAAGAATCATCACATAATTCATGCCAAAGGAGTGACTATAGTTTTGCTTAAACAAAATCGAATTGCTCGAAACATGCCGAGACCAACGCTGAGTCGGTATCGTTGCATTGACCGAGGCGCAGGAAGATAGTCGATCTCCCGTCTCTGTGATGAATGGGTCCTCTCAAGAAGCACAAGAGGGAGATACGGGGAAGTGGAAAGGATCAACTATTTATCTGCGCACAACGATGCCTTGACGGCGCACGGCAGTACGAGCCCGGCGGTATTCCTCATCGCTATCAGACTCGGAGCAGCTGGCCTCCGAAGACTCGGTGACATAGCCGCAGCGGCTACCACCGCAGTCGAGCTTGACGCGGTCGCCCCTGCGAGTGATGCCGTACCGTTCACAGCGGCAGATCGTGGCGGGCGGGTCACTCATAGAAGACAAGGACGAGGGCGAGGTGCTGCCCGAAGACCGAGATGACAGGGAAGAGCCGACAGAGCTGGGCGGGCTGTTGGAGTACGAGTACTCATCGGACATGCGGGAGCTGGCAAAGCGCATGGTCAGTTCCTCCATGGTGGGAGCAAAGTCGGTCTCCCGGATCTGTCGAGAGGCGTAGGGCTTGGATGGCTTGGGGTGGTGGATCTTGGATGGAGACAGAGCTCGGCCCTTAACGACGTCGTTGGAACCTCGGCGCGTCTTGGGAGCAGGGTTGGAGCTCTTGCCACCGGGGACATCGAGGATGTTGAGCTTGCGGCCAGTGGTGGGCTCAACGGTGTATTCGACGGCGGGATCGTGAGATACATGGTATCCATCCATGATATACTAGACCAATGGTTAGTCTTCCTTCCTTAGCAATTCAACATCGACGAATACTTACGTAGTACCAGTACCGACCACCCAGCTTGAGCATCGACGTCTGGAAGCGGAACTTGCCAACCCATGAGCCCGGCTTGGAATCATCCCGGGAAAGGGGGATTTGGCGAGAGTAGTTATCCCAGGAGCCGAGCAGATGGACAGTCTTGACGTTGGAGGAAGTCCGGAGAGAGAACTTGAGTTGAACAGCGGTCATTGTGGCAGTAGATGATTGATGCAAGTGAAACTAAAGATTATATTATATGTGAAGTTGAAGGAGGAAGTCGATATAGATCGTTGAATCAGAACCTAGACCAAAAGACTGCCAGAGCCTATTCGATCAAATTCTGTTGGTTGGTTGGTTGGTTGGTTGCTTGTTGGTTGGCAGGCGATGCAACGCTCACAACGAGGCTCTTCTTTCTCTTTCAAGATTGACGGGAACCAGCCCACGACAGGATTAGAATCAGATAAGATTAAAAGTGTAAAAAGACCTTGACAAAGAGAAGAAAACCAGTTCTTTGACAAGATCCGAGCAAGTAATTTGAGCTGGAAACGGCTAACAATGAACAACGTCGGCCTGCGACGAGGATTGAGAACCGTGGGAAGAAGATTATATAATCTAGAAGTATCCTGAGCAAAGGTGAATGAACAAGATCAGAGAGCACAGCTCGTCTGATGGAGAAGATTGAGGAAGGGAAGACTTGAGGATCTTTTGGTATAGTGGAAGGGGAAGTAATTAGTAGTATAGAAGCAGCAGCAATAACAACAATAACAGCAACAAAAAACCAGTGCAACCAGTGCACAGGATACTTCCAAATTAAGGGCAGCTCAAACAACACAGAAGCTTGCTGAAGAGAAGAAAGAAAGAAAGAAAGAGAAGGGGGAGAGAAGCCTCTTCAAGCAGGCTGGCGGCTGCGGCACCTTTAAGGCTCTCTCCAGGCATCCAGCAGATTCCTCATTATTGATGGTGTTCTGTAAGACGATGGAAGATGGATGCCGTCACCTGCAGGCTATTCTAAGAACATTACTGGCGGTGGAGCAGATATCTACTGCCGCAGCCAATCAGCGCCTTCAGTTGCCCATCTTCAGCTGTCAGAGTGGGGACTCGATCTCGCTGGCGGGTAAACAGTGGTGCTGATTGGTTGCTTTACAAGAAGGAGGGGCTCAAAAACTTTCCAGTAGCCAACCACATAGCAGAGCCGTGCACCAACCACCACCCTGGATTTGGCGCCTGTCATCCACTGTGATGAGGACATCACCAATAGAGGCTTCTGGCAGGCCTCCCTTCAGCAACCACACGGGCTGCCCTCATGTACACTATCAGCTACTTTGCTTCCTGCAGGATATAGATACAGATAAATAGCATCCTTTAAGGTTTACATGACAATTCATCATGCATGGAAAGAGGGGAAGGCTCATGTAATCCGCTGCTCCAGCCTTGTTATCTAATAACATACTGCCTATGACTGCCAGGCTACAGACTCGAGAAGACAAAAACATTCCAGGATTGTCCAAGTTATTCTAGTTTTCGCTGAGTACATGAAGAGAAAAAGAACCAAGGCACTCGCTTCCCCTTTCAGGCTCATCTCTCGGAGCGGTGGCCCGTAAATCACAGTAGTATCAAGTCGAGATCAGAGACAGTCCATCTTGCATCCTTTGTACGCCAGGGAAATGCCAAAAGAGAAAATTCAATCTGTTCTCTCTCCGTCGAAATCACAAAAAGAAGGGGGAAAGGGGAGTGAGTATGAAAACGCGTAGATAATTAGAGGGGGCGAACGGGACGAAAACGAATATAAAGAAGTAGTTTTGGTCCTGTCGTAACAAAGAAAAGGACGAAGATTGTACAAAAACCCTCCTGTGTCTCTGCCCACTCGACTGTCCCCTTACGTTACTTACCGCACGGACACTCCAGAACGGTTGGTAAACATGCGAGCGGCGATATTCATCGCGGCCAATTCTTGGAACAGAAGCTTGGCTGCATACGGGATATGCACCTGCGAGATCCTGTGCTTGTTGTTACACAGTCGACACTCGAAAAGCCCCTTCTTCAGTTTCCTGCCACGCGAAATTTATCGGTTAGCTAGTGCTTATTGTGATGCAGACAGACCATCTGCAAAGGGTTAGAGGAGACTTACGCAATCGGGGTCATGAGTCCACAGTCATCGCAGATGTGGACACGGAATGGGTCGGAAACATCAAATAGACGCTCCTTCAGGAAGGCACTGGCACCGTGCGCAATCATACAATCACGTTCCATCTCTCCGAAACGCAGACCACCGTCACGGGCTCTACCTTCCACAGGCTGCCGGGTCAGAATCTGGGTCGGTCCACGGGCACGGGCGTGGATCTTGTCGTCGACCATGTGGCGCAGACGCTGATAGTATGTTGGTCCCAGGAACACCTGCGCAACCAGCTTGCGTCCAGTGTGGCCATTGTACATCACTTCGAACCCACGAGATTGATAACCATGCTCACGAAGCAGCCGAGAGACTGAGTCGACGGTGACATCAGTGAAAGGTGTTGCATCACCTTCAAACCCACGTAGCGCCGAGACTTTACTGAGCTGACACTCGATCAAGTGAGCAATTGTCATACGAGATGGAATAGCATGCGGATTGATGATAAGATCGGGAGAAACACCCTCGCGTGTAAATGGCATGTCTTCCTGCCGGTAAGTAATACCAATGGTACCCTTCTGTCCGTGACGGGAGGCAAACTTGTCTCCGATCTGAGGAACCTTTGTCGTCCTCATGCGCACCTTGACGAACTTGAGGTCATCATTGCTGGTAGAGACCAGGACTTGGTCCACAATACCATTCTCAGTGCTTCTCAGTGGCGTCGACACGTCCAGCTTGGTATGTGCCTTGGTTCGCTGGCCGAGTTCCTCCGCCTCCGGTGCCAGCGGGGCCGTTTTGCCGATGATAATATCCTCACCAGACACTCGCACACCAGGGGCAATGATACCGTCCTCATCGAGCTTATCGTAGGTACCCTTTCTCATACCGATCGTATCCGAGCGCATAGGTTTCTCAAACCGCTCGACAACAGTCAGACCAACCATCTTCTCGGTATCGGTGTATGTGCGGTAGAAGAGACTGCGGAAGAGACCGCGATCGATGCTACTCTGGTTCATGATGACCGAATCTTCTTGGTTGTATCCGGAGTAGCAAGCAATGGCGACGATGGCATTCTGCCCAGCTGGCAGCTCACGGAATCGAAGGAATTCCATGGACCGCGTTGTGGCCAATGGTTTCTGCGGGTAGTAGAGAATATTCGCCATCGTCTCCATCCGTTGGTCAAAGTTGGTCAAAAACACACCCATGGCTTGTTTACCCATCGCAGACTGGTAGGTATTACGAGGCGACTGGTTGTGATCCGGGAAGGGAATGATACTGGCACAAACACCAAGAATCATACTGGGATGGATCTCGCAGTGCGTCCAAGTGTGCGCCTTTTGACTCAGGATCGATCGGACACGCTTGTTGGGATCGTCATCCTCCGGGAGAGCGTAACCCGCCTGAAGCTGCTTGGAAATTTCCAGGTCTTCTGGGGTCATGACGATCATAATTGTCTCTTCTTCCTCGGCATCGACATACTCGACA